GGTGATGCAGCCGAAGATGGTAAAGTGCTCTGACTAATAACAAAAGCCTATTCAATATTACCTTGAAGACACATAAAAATTATAACGTATTGAAATAATACTAGTTTTACTGATTTTATCGCGTGTATTTAACTATAAATGCCCGACGTTTCGAGCGCTTTACAGCACCCATAGTCACGGGGGGGGGGGGACTGAGATGTTCAACGGCCAAATGTCATAGTTAACAGTGGTTACCATAGATAAAAATTTTAACTTTTGTTCCGATCTACACAGTATGGACTTATGGTATTTTGAAGTCTTGCAGTTGTATGTATAGGTTGGGATTTAGCATAGCATAGCATAAACACTCACGCCTGTCACCCAGAGGGGTAGGCAGAGACCACGGACTTCCATTTGACACGATCCTGAGATATCTTTTTCGCCTCCTTTACATCCATATATCTACGCATACATGATCGTCGGTTAAGGGTACTTTTAACGTGGCCCATTTTCAAAATATCGCCAATTTGGTCGATAAACTTTTTTCTAGGGCGTCCCTTCCCGACTCTGCCGTTCACATCTTCCATATAAATTTGTTTTGTCACTCTTTCCTCATTCATTCTTTCTACATGACCAAACCACCGAAGCATTCCTTTCTTAATCCTGGTCACAACATCATCTTGCATACCACATTTATCTCTTATCATGCAATTTCTCATCCTGTCATTCAGATTGAACCCTAGCATACTCCTTAAAGACCGCATTTCTACAGCATTTATTCTACTTTCGTGCTTCTTCTGCCACACCCAGCTTTCACTACCATACATTAAAGTAGGGACTAACACAGCATTATGAATTACCATACGTGCCTTTTTTGATACATTCTGGTTCTTCACAATAGAGTGTAGTGCCCCATTCACTCTATGCCCCATTCATTTACTCGTCGTTCTATATCCTTATCATATCTACCATCCCTGCTTAATACACATCCCAAATACACAAACTCATCCACTTGCTCAATTACCTCTCCTTCTATTCTTATTTCACATACCGTTTTGCTTTCCTCTCTTTCAAAAACCATCACTTTCGTCTTACTTGCGTTCACTTTCATTCCCCTTTCTTTTAATGCCCAGTTCATTAATGTAACCATCATTTGCAACTTAGCCGCCGATGACGCAAATATGACTTGATCATCGGCATAAAAAAGGCATTTGATGGTTAACTCGCCCATTCTTAACCCACATTCTTCATCTTTCAAAGTTTGCAAACACCTGTCCATAAATAGGTTGAACAACCAAGGGGAAGCCACACAGCCATGTCTGACACCCTTTCGGATGCCAAACCATTCCGAGTAGACCCCATTGATCCTGACACAAGCACTAGAATCCCTATAAAGAGACCTCAATGCCTGTATCAAACCAGAGCTCAACCCATATGAGTTCAGTGTTTGCTATAACACATTCCTGTCCACTCTGTCATAATAAGCCTTTTTCAAGTCCATGAACGCACAAAAAACTTTCTTTTTGGGATTTTATTTTATTTTATTTATTATAGGATCCCAAGCAGATGGTAGCACCAGGCCATCTTCTCTATTGAAATTAGGATGTTTTTGACTTCAATAGCTTCGCGAATCATCCTTGGAAGGAATCGGTGTTCTTTAGCGAGGATTTGTGGTCTATCAAATCTGATGTAGTGACGGGGGCGATCATGTACGTGTTCATAGACTGCGGACTTCCCGGAGCTTTCGATTCTTCACATCAGCTATATGTTCTTTAACGCGGGTTTTAATTGATCTTTTAGTTGGTCTTATGTAGGAGAGACCACACTCACAATCAAGCTTGCACACTCCTGCATCTTGCAGAGGGACGTTACACTTGACTGATGGTCAAAACTGACCAATCTTCTTCGGCGGCTCGAAGTTTCTTTTGATGGAAGCGCGCTTCAAGATGTAGCCAATCTTGTCAGTGACTCCTCTAACATATGGCTGTACAGCAGGTACACGCTTGGCCTTGTATTTGGTACTGTGGCCGGCTTCACTCGTTCACTGTGACGTAGGCGCGGGACCCGAAGCTTGTTGTAATGCAAAACTTGCTTGACGTGGTGGAGCTCGGAAGCCAGGTGTTTACTGTCACCCCTTAGAGATCCCTCGTGCTCTCTGAAACAAAGATTTACCCACGGTAGCTAACTGTGAACGATGGTGGTGAGAAACACCGTTTAAATATCTATCTGTATGGGTTTTTTTTCTATGCACAGTATGGCTCAAGGTGTTACCAAGATTCCGAATTAGTGACACATCTAGAAAGGCTAAAGAATCGTTTGTCTGGTCTAACTCCATTGTGAACTGAATTTTAGAATTTATAGAGTTGAGATGGTCTAAAAATGCAGTTACTTTATCTAAAGGTAGAATTGTGAAAGTGTCGTCTACGTACCCTTGTAGAATCTTGGATTTATGGGAGAAGTAAGCAGGGCTTTCTCCTCAAAGTCTTCCATGAATATGTCGGCGACAATGGGAGATACAGGTGAGCCCATGGCCACACCATCTACTTGCTTGTATAACTCCTCCTTCTAGACAGATGTAAGGCAGTGTCTGAGTAATACTGCATATTCTACGGGCATGTTGTTTTCTTCCAGCCTTCTAGTTACAATTGAGATGCAGTTTTCAACAGGTAAGCATGTAAACAATGCCTGCACATCAAAACTGACCATAGTTTCATTGTCTGCCAGATGTAGGTCTTTAATCTCGCTGACAAAATGGTAGGGATCCTTGTGTGCTCTTGTATGTCCCCTGAGCGGTGAGAGTTTTTTCGCTAAGTGTGGAGCCAATCTGTAAGTTGGTGAATCGATTTGGCTCACTATGGGACGTAATGGAGCATTGGGCTTGTGTATTTTTGGTAACCCATACAAATTTGGTGATTCGGCGCACGTAGGTATTATCCATTTTACGTCCAGATTTACTTTTTCGGAGTGTTTCTTTATGATGTCACTATTTGTTATTAGTGTGCTATTTGTTGGGTCGTTTTTAACCTTTTTATAAGTGCTTACAACCGACAAAAGTTCTTGTATTTTAGAATTATAATCTGACGTATCCATGACTACCGTGGCGTTCCTTATCTGCGCGAGAATCGTGAGTTCTGGTTTATTGCGTAGGTTCTTAAACGCTATAAATTCGTCTTTGGGAAGATTCGGTTTAGGCACTGAACATCGACGTAACATAGACGAAATGTCTTGACGTATCACCTCCAAATCTTCTTTCCGCATATGGTTTTTAAATAAACAGTCCTCTCCTACATAGGACAAACTAAAAGATCAATTAAAACCCGCGTTAAAGAACATGTAGCTGATGTGAAGAATGGACGTTCCGGGAAGTCTGCAGTCTGTGAACACGTACAGGATCGACCCCGTCACTACATCAGATTTGATAGACCACAAATACTCGCTAAAGAACACCGATTCCTTCCAAGGATGATTCGCGAGGCTATTGAAATCAAAAAAACATCCTAATTTCAATAGAGAAGAGGGCTGGGTGCTACCATCTGCTTGGGATCCTATAATAAATAAAATTAAATCCCAACCCAAGCATAAGTTGTTCATACTGTGTAGATCGGAACAAAAGTTAACATTTTTATCTATGGTAACCGCTGTTAACTATGACATTTTGACGTTGAACATCTCAGTCCCCCCGTGACCATGGGTGCTGTTAAGCGCTTGAAACGTCGGGTATTTATAGTTAAATATACGCGATAAAATTCGTAAAAACTAGTATTATTTCAATGTGTAGTGTTCGCGTAAATATATGAAATCATTAATTACAACGTACTTTGAGGTGTAGGTAAAGTCATAGGCTATATATGTCTTTCAGCAAAGCTATCGCCTCTTATCATTTCTTTTTTTACTTTTTTTACTGGCTTGAAACAAAAGCCTATTCTCTATATCCTTGAAGATATCCACATTATAATTTGTGAGGGAAATATAATAAGGATAAATTTGCGCGACCTTATAGCATGGTAGAGCCACAGTGGGTATAATTGTTGCAGCAGGGAAGGGTCGCATATTCTGAGCAAAGGCCACTGTTGCACGGAATACCAATGGCGCTGTTTTATATTTAAGTGAGTGGGAACATTTTTACTGATAGTATAGCATTCCATCTTCGTCCTCAGAGTCATAACGCATCGAGAGTTCTTACAAAATTACTACAAAATGTTATTCTTTCAAAGTTGTGGTGACGAATGCTTCTTAATATATTATTTTGTGATATTTTACCTACATTTTTATATTTCTACACACCACATTGCAAGATGACTTTATCTAGGTATACGGTGTGTAATTATGAAAACGTTATCCCACTCCCCGCGATTGTCGACAGAAGGAATTTTAGAACAAACAACGTACTCCCAACCTTGCGAAAGTTTCGACGGGCACTGACCGGGATGGGCGCGAGCTCGTATCAATTTTTTTTTTTTTTACATAAACATTGAAAATCGATTTGTAAAATATGTTCTAAACTTTGCGTACAAAATAACAAGCAAATTCAGTTGATATAAATTTTATATTTATCTGTTCATGAGTTTTTATCAAACCAATTATTATGCTTCTAATTTCTCTCATGACGTATAAGCTCCGTTCAGATCTACCAGCACATAGCGTGCCCAGTAGGGTGGAGTGATAATGTAAGAAATTTTTTTTTGTTTTTTTTTTTGATTGCATAGCGATAAAAATTTGCCTTTCATTGAGTAAATCCTACATACAAAATATTATTTACTTATCATGATGTCTTGAGGTGCCCCAACACAATTGAAAATTTGAAAAAAGCGATGAATGTCGTAGCACACCAGGCGGGAACAAAGTTCCTTACGCTACTCTATATATACCTATGTGTTAGTGTAGTAGACACCATCAACAGAGTAACAGCTTAGGAATCGGTTAAATAAAGTCTGGTTAAATATAAAAAATACATATATTAAAAAAATAAGGTAAAACTAAGTAATTATGATAGATTTGGATATCGTTCAGAAACACAGTAATTAAATATTAAATTGTTTTTTTGTATCAAAATTTGGCATTTGCTGACGTGATAATAATCGTGCCCTTATGAAACCGTCTCGTTTATTTTCTCCACAAACTGCACTTGAAGCTTCAGTCACCAATTTTATGCAGCGCTCTACGGCTTGGGTGTGGCATGGGAAATCTTTTATACTCTGACATGTTCTCAAACCGCATTTGACAATCTCTTTCAAGAATTCATCAGATAAATTGTAAGTCAGAGGTGGCTCAGTTATTTTACAGTCTTGCCACTTAATGAGGTCGGTATAATCTTCAGCATCGAAATTTAAAGGAGGCACTTTGAACGTTCGAAGTCCTTGATCATTCTCTGCTCTAGCTTTCAAAATTTGTTGACATGCTAGTTCTCGAATGATTTCTCTGTCATCTCCAAGCATAGCAATAAGAATATTTTCTGGGTGCCCGAAATATCCATTTCGTATGAGTACCTTATCAATGACTATCTTCAAATCCGCGCTCAAATAGCGAGTCAGGCTAATCGTTTGCCACAGGTGCTTAGCTCCATTTATGCATGATGGATTACACTTTATAGTGAACCACATCGGACCATAAACTTTCATCACGTATGTGGCTAATATCATTAAGTTTTCTAGGGGGTCTGTTTTAGTAGCATATAATCTTAGAATTCGATTTGCTGTTGTAAGCCATCTAGAATGGCTAAGGGGTCCAGGTTCGATATTAGCCAAATCGGAAGTAAAGACGCCAGTGCTGATAGCGTTCATCACATCATAAAGATATTTTTGGTCGGTGCTCAAATCATTTCTAGGAATTTCAGGTAATGTTGAAGGAATGACGGTAAATTCGACAATTGGCATTGTTTCACATTTTTGTAATTCAGAGCCGATAGGACCTGAAAAGCATTTAGGCCCTGTGGTTTTTCCATCCAAATGTAATAACAGTTGTCGCAGTGGTAACTCATTTGAATGCAATTGGCAGATAAACCACTGTAATGGTTTCTTAAGTTCTTCTTCCATCAAACGAACAACACCACCTTTGGAACCTGTGTTCACGACAGTTCCATCGCAACCAACAACAGCTATTTTATTCAGATCCACCGATATCATTTTCAGGTGACGTATAATTGTACTTTGAATACCTTTAGCGGTTCCCAACTCACACGTAACATGCCCGAAATAATCACTTCCTGGCTCCGATAAAATCACATAATGGTCTTCTGTTACTCTTTTTCTGTAAAATTTGCCTTCCTTCTTAATACTTCATCATCATCATCATCACAGCCCTTCACAAGTCCACTGCTGAACATAGGCCTCCCCCAAGTAATGCCACAAAGCACGGTCCTGAGCCACCTGCATCCATCGACTTCCTGCATATCTTACCAGGTCGTCACTCCATCTAGTGGGGGGTCGCCCTACACTACGCCTACCGGTACGAGGCTGCCACTCGAGAACCTTTCTTCCCCATCGGTTATCGGTTCTTCGAGCTATATGGCCGGCCCATTGCCACTTCAGCTTACTAATCCGTTGGGCTATGTCGGTCAATCTGGTTTTACTGCGGATATCCTCATTTCTGAGTCTATCACGCAGAGAAACTCCGAGCATAGCCCTCTCCATAGCTCGCTGAGCGACCTTGAGCGTCCTCATACGGCCAGCAGTGAAGGACCACGTCTCTGATCCGTAAGTCATCACTGGCAACACGCACTGGTTGTACACTTTAGTTTTCAGAGATTGAGGTATACCTGACGAGAAGATATGTCGTAATTTCCCGAACGCTGCCCAGCCGAGTTGAATCCGTCGATTGACCTCTCGGTCGAAGTTGGACTTACCTAGTCGGACTATTTGTCCCAGGTAAACGTACTCGTCAACAACTTCGAGCATAGTGCTCCCAACAACTACCGGCATAGGTGTGACATGGACATTAAACATAATCTTTGTTTTGTCCATGTTCATCTTAAGACCTATCCGTTGGGAGGCACTATTGAGGTCATTGAGCATAGTGCTTAAGTCCTCCAGCGATTCTGCCATAAGGACTATATCGTCGGCAAATCGAAGGTGAGTGATGTACTCGCCATTGATGTTAATACCGTATCCTTTCCAGTCCAGTAGCTTGAAAACGTCTTCCAAAGCAGCGGTGAAGAGTTTCGGGGATATAACGTCACCCTGTCTTACACCTCTCTGCAGTTGGATAGGTTTCGAGCTCTGGTTCTGTACTCGGATAGCCATCGTAGCCCTACTGTACAAACACTTCAGCACTTCAATATACCGACAGTCAACTTGGCACCGCTGAAGGGACTGCAGCACCGCCCAAATTTCGACGGAATCAAAGGCTTTCTCATAGTCCACATACGCCAGGCAAAGTGGCAAATTGTACTCTTCAGTCTTCTGTACAATCTGCCGCAGGGTATGTATGTGGTCTATGGTACTGAAGCCTTTTCGGAAACCGGCTTGTTCGGGAGGCTGGAAGTCGTCGAGTCTGCGTGCGAGACGATTCGTAATGACTCTCGAAAACAGCACGTAGACGCGGCTCAGAAGGGAAATCGGTCTGTAGTTCTTCAAGAGAGCGTTGTCGCCTTTCTTAAAGAACAAGACCACCGCACTTCTGCTCCACGCCTCTGGAGTAGTGCCACCATGGAGGACGGAATTGAAGAGCTTCTGAAGGACTTCAAGTACCGGTGTTCCACCCGCTTTCAGAAGCTCCGCTGTAATTCCATCCTCGCCTGGGGCCCTGCCGTTTTTAAGGTGCTGGAGAGCCATTCTAATCTCGCTTAGACTGACGTCCGGGATATCATCGGAATAGTGTCGGATAAGACTTGCTCTTGGATCGTTACTCACACTTGCGTGTGGCTCCAACGATGATGTGTACAGCTGCCCATAGAACCTCTCAATCTCACTCAAAATCTCAGGTGTCCCGGAAACGATGCTGCCACACTCAGTCTTCAGCCTTGACAGTTGGCTCTTTCTGGCAGATAGATCTCTGGCAAAGACTTTGGAGCCCTGGTTCCGCTCGATCGCTTCTTTAATACGAGCAGTATTAAAGTTGCGTAAGTCTCGCCGCATGCATTTGGAGATCTGTCTGTTCAGTTGCCTGTATGCTGTCAAATCTGTTGACGATTGCAGCCTCATCTCCCGTCTAACAGCCATGAGATTAAGAGTGTGATCGGAGAGTTTTTGTGTTCTTCTGCGGCGGGTCTTGCAGAACTTAGCTCCGACCGCATGGACAGTTTCCACGAGCTTGTCATTCATATCGTCCACTGCATTGCAATCTTGTAGGCACTGAAAGCGGTTGTGTAACTCGAGCTGAAAGTTTTCGGGATTTTTGGATCAGAGCACGAGGGGGGACGGAGCGTTGACTTCATTAGACGAGACCTCTCCAACTTAACGTTTAGGTTCAGTGTGCCTCTAACCATTCGGTGATCGCTGCCAGTTTTCACCCTTGCGATCACTGAGACATCACTGAACAGTTGGCGTCTGGTCGTCATAATGAAGTAAACAATCTCATTTTTTGTCGAACCGTCGGGGCTCGACCAGGTCCACTTCCTGTGGGGCCGCTTCTGGAAGAAAGAGTTCATCATAAAGAGTCCCTCTTTCTCCATAAAGTCGGCCAGCTGCTGGCCCCCTTCGGTTCCGTTGCCCTACTCCAAATTTCCCTAACTTCAGCTCACCGCTTTCTCTTGTGCCTAGTTTTGCGTTGAAGTCTCCCATCAACACCGTGTAGTGGGTTTTGGAGGAATGTATGGCTTTGGAAATATCCTCATACATTTCCTCCACCATCATCTTAATACTTACTAAACTCTTATCCTTTCTGCCATCAAAATAAATACCGCGTATGATTTTATTACGATCTGCGTCTTGTAAAGATGATCTGACTTTAGTTCTTTCACGACGCAACTTAGAACGATCAATGACACCGCTTGGATCCTTCGTTGAAATAATGCCAACATCTTTTAACACAGAAGAAGCTATAATAGCAGCGGCTCTGTCGGAGACTCCAGTACGATCGCAAGCGAGGGCTAATGATGATAAATTTAACTTCTTTTTTTTTGGTGGTGGTGGGGTTTTTGGTAGTCTCGCTACGTGTTTTGGCGATTGATAAGGACTAGAAGCTACGCTATTGCTAGAACTGGTGCTTTCGATCGTCAAGTCATCATCATCAGGCAACGAACGAGAACAACACGGTTTGTTGGGATCAAATATCTCTTTGTTACGCAATAAACTTTTTTCTTGTCTTTTTAGTTTTCTCTTATTTTTTACAGTTGTAACCAAATCTACACCACCTATCATCATTTTTCTTGTTGTCCTTTGGTCGAGTAAAAATTTTATTTCTTCCTTGGGAACACGACTGTCTTTTGAACAAGTGCAATCTGAAATAAGTTTGCATTTGCAACTGCAAACATCAAATAATCTATGAGACTCAGTTATGAATGTATTTATCTTCTCTTGATATTTTTTATTTAATTGACGGCCTCGATAAGGTTTCATTAAGCTTCTATATTTGTCATGGTAGGATCGAATAAGTTGTAATACTCTCTTAAGACTGACTGTTGGCAGCGACGCTTTTCGCCAAATTTCTAAAACTTCCTGAGCCAATCTTTCGGATATGTCATGAATTGTCGGCTCTTTTGTTTTTTTGTCAGGCTTTAATTCATATTTAATGAATAAATAATTTTTCATTACATCATTATAAGTTGGTAATTGAGCTACGGGTAACTTCTCTGGTAAACCAAACACAGGACAGGATGTCTTTTGTCGTGTTTTTACTTGCGACATTTGACTGTAATAAAGAGAAATAATAGGTATGAATTCAATCAATTTTGATCTAAATTGCATTAACTATGAGCAGGAAATTGAAAATACTACTTACATGAGTCTTACTTCTTGATTTAAGTCGTTAAAATCAATGCTTTTCACAAGTGTAATAGTATTAAATCGCGCGCGCGGGTGCACTAAAAGGCATTCGAACGACGTTTGACGAGAGTAGTGTATTCACCTCCCCCGTGCCCCACAACCCCCGCTCCTCACCGCACACATTTCAAGGTCAAAATTGAATGTCTTGTACCAACAGGGTGACACTCTCAATATGACTTAGCGTTAATTAGACATTCGTGTGTTTTGACAAAATTTCGTGAATTTCTCTAAAGTTCATGATGTTGGGGGCACCTCCAAATATATCATATGTCAACCAAAATTTTGTGAGAATATTTGTAAGCTATAAGAGCAACTTTTTACAGGTATTACAAAACAATTACGAAAAAAAAATTTTTTCGCTCCACCCTAGTGCCCAGCATTTAACGTGGCAGACATCACACTGATAACAGTTTTCACTTCTCGCACACCCGGAATGAACAGATGCCATCAGGCAATCTCATCACATTCGTACTAGCCGCGCGACTGCAACTGACATACGCAGACACGCACCAAAAGCAGACAAAACATTCTTGTAGAGAATGCTGTTCTGTGCCGGCCCGAGTCTGTGCGGACACGCTCCGCTTGCGTGCGCTAGATGTGAATATATATCTATATAAACTGTATTAAAGAATATTATTTTGTCTGCCACGCCACGTGTCTTGCACGCTCGAATGGAGCTTAACTTGTCCGTTTGTATGTTCAATTATTATAAAATGATTTTTTTATAGGATAGGGTGACAAACTACCACACAGTCCACCTGTTGGTAAGTGGTTCCTGTGGCCAATAGACATCTACATCTATCCTCGATTGCAAATCAAAATGCAGTTGCGTCGTCACCCGTAAGGACTAAGATGGAGTGCCTCGTTTCTAGTAAAAAGGGTCTCCGGTTTTCTACATTCACCATATGAAACACAGCAGCATCAAGCTACTATTTAACGCTGGTATTCTGTGAGATGATTTTGTTTTTTGTGTAATACTTTTATTAAGTAGATTTACAAAGGCTTAAAATAGTAAAACGTCAACGTACTGCAATATCGCCTCAATTTATTTTGTAATTGCTTTATTAATACTCTATTTTGTTACTCCCATTCCTTTGATAGGTTAAATTAACTAAATTCGTACGTGTCACGAGTATTTGTTTTCAAAGGCACTTTATGAAGCCTTTCCCACAATGTAATAATGACATACAAATTAAAAGGAAAATATGGCGTATTTATTGGAGTACAAAGTTGAAAAAAATAATTTATGCATAATTTAATCATAATGCTTCGTTTTCGCATTTCTCAACAATTTACATAAACTCGCAATGAATTTTATAACAATATTTATTGTTAACATTATTCTCCTTCTTATTATATAATCAAAATACTTACACAATTTTTGTATGTCGTTGTTGTTGGTGAACAGTTGAAATATTCAAATCTATAGGTGTACAGAAAAAATCATGTGTGTACTGTGTACTCGTAAGTAAAATAAGCTAACGCATATACATTAGGTATTTATCCTTAAAAAACTCTTATACCAATTAATCGGATTTTGGCAAAACGCGATACTAGTTTCATTAAATACATCCTAATATTATTTTGTATAAATAAATAAATAAAAATAAAATATATTTCAGACGGAGTCCATTTAAGTGACATTATAATAAATTTAATATCAGGGTTACTCCCCTGTCAATTTCAATGCCGTCAGCTACCCTGGTCAGCCATCGATGGTACTGTACCACTTAGTCAATGTCCGTGGTGCAAGCAAACATGTTCCAAAATTTTTATGTACATAGCGATAAGCTTTTGGTGAGTATTAATTATTTGTTAGGAATATGTAGCTATAGGAAATTTTCCAATGTTACTTTTAAGTTACTATTAATTGTCTCTTTAACATTTCGCTTTTTTCAATTCCTATCTTTTCTAGGACCTGTATGTTTTCTTTATCTATCAAAGATGTCTCAGTCAGCGAATCTAGTATTTCTAGTAAACTTGTAACTTTTTCTTTGAATACCGTTTTAAAATAGACGATGTTGTACAATCACTAAGGTCAGTTTAACAATTTTTTTTAATTTTACTTATAATTGTATTCCTTTACATTTATTGTACTATTTAATAAGTTGAGATACTTTATTTTTGTTTCAAAAAGCATTATATTGTAATAATATAAATGTCTATGTTAAAACAATTTTTTTTTGTAATGATTGGCTTATTATTTAAAACATAAGTTCCTCCACTTTTTGTTTTTGGTACTTAGAGTTTTTTATTTCTGGTATTCATGGTTAACCAAATCAAATTACAGCTCTTTAGAATACCAATAGTCTCTGCACTAAGCCGTGGACAAACGGACGGACAAACAGACTTGGCGAAACTATAAGCGTTCCTTGTTGTTTTACTACGGAACCCTAAAAACTTGCTACAAAGAGATGATTTTAATTGTTTGAGTGTATTTTGCTAGTGCTTGTGAGTTTTTTTCTTTTTCTTAGGGAAACTGTAGATATAAAATATCGATATGGTAGCATCGCAATTAATTTGTCCGTCTTACATTCATATTTTTTTCTATGTTGATGTATTTAATCTATATGTGTGCGTAAAATTTATGTGTTGGGGATTTAGATTTTTGTGTGCCATAATGACACAAAATTTTATTGAGTAGGTGTGCAGTACTGTCTATGTAGTATTTCTTCGTTCTTACTCGTCGACAAGTTTCTTGTTCGTAGCATTAGGTGCATTACTCATCCATTGGGTTGAATGGTCTAAGGGCGTTATTAGTGACTTTATGGCAACTCTGAGCAGTGACAAGCTACATATTGCTGAGTTCGCAAGAAAAAGTGGCATTGACAGATTTCATAACATACATAAACATAAACACTCACGCCTGTCACCCAGAGGGGTAGGCAGAGACTACAGATTTCCATTTGGCACGATCCTGACACACCTCTCTCGCCTCTTTCACATCCATACACCTACGCATACATGCTCGTCGGTTAAGGGTGCTCCTAATTTGGCCCGTTTCCAATAAATCGACAATTTGGTCGATAAATTTTCGCCTAGGACGTCCCTTTCCGACTCTGCCATTCACTTCTGCAACATAAATTTTCTTTGTCACTCTTTCCTCATTCATTCTTTCCACATGACCAAACCACCGAAGCATTCCTTTCTTAATCCTGGTCACAACATCATGTTGCAAACCACACTCTTCTCTTATTACACAATTTCTTACCCTGTCATTCAGATTCAGCCCTAACATACTCCTTAACGACCGCATTTCTACTGCGTTTATTCTACTCTCGTGCTTCTTCAGATTTCCTAGGTAGATTATATTATGTAGTTCTGCGTTTCGCCGCCATTAAACGTTTATGTCGGGCTGTACAGTCGCCTTACTTATATATCTAATTAAAATATCATTTCAACTGTTTAATAAAAATAACACTTCAAAAGATTTAACGGCAAATGATTTATTTAATATGATAAATTTACACCACAAAAGTTAGATTTTATGGCAAATAGTATCCTTATTTTGAGACAAGTGAAGCCTAAACTTTAATGTAATAAATAAAAAGAATACAAACATATAAAACATAGAATTAAAGAAAGTTTAGGAAAGGAACATTAAAATTTTGCTAAAAATGTCTGTTCAAATATTTTACCTCATTGTAAATTAGCGCCGCCCTGGTGGCAGAAAAAGTCGTGGATATCCTCATTAATGCGTATTATTTGATTTTTACCGATTAACTATATTAAATATAAGATCATAGCAGAAAAATGTTTTTGTCTTTCACTTTTTATTACCTTGCAACAGGGCCCTAAATTATTGTGTGCCACAACGCCCCGGTATGGCCTAAGATGGCGTTGGCCATAGCAACCATTTACCATCAGGTGCCTGTGTGCTCGTTTGTAACCCCTATTCTATAAAAAAACCACTTAATATTAATTACTACAATAATAATAATTTACAATTTAATTCAAGTATCTGCCACCATCTGGGGCACCGGGCAGATGCATTTGTGTTTGAACCCAGTGCCGCAGAAGGGGGCAGGCAGGCTTGTCGCTGAGCACGTTCGGGATGGTGTTGGTGCTCCTCCGCGTACTGAACATCAGCAAGGCGATGCGGCGCCGCAGGAAGGCGTGGTAGCCGTCTATGTGCGTGCGCGCAAACATCGCAGACGCACTGCAGCAGCGAGTGAGCGCCACCAGCATCCTGAATGCGTTATTACACTGTACTCGGAGAGCGTTGATGCATGCTAGATGACCCACATATTGCAGGTGTATAGAATTTGACAAAAGACTTTAAAGAGGGTTATCTTTACTCCAAAGCCACATCGCGCGAATCTGCGTGCCAACATATTACAGCGTACCGTCATCACTCTTCTTTACCTCTCGATATCAGCATCGTCTTTTAAATCCTTGGTAACATGGCCGAGATATTTAAAGTCTTTCACCCTACTTTGAGCGATATCATTTAGCAGCACGGCTCCGTGGCGCAGTGGCTTAGCAACGAGTTACAGCGCTAAGGGCCGCGGGTTCGAATCTCGCGCGGGACAAGTATTTGTATGGCCTACAATTAATTTTTCCGGGCCTAGATGTTTGTCCATGTGAAAGTTATATTTGCAAACAAACCACGATACAGTAAAAAATATTAGTGTGAAGGTAACGTTTTTAAAAGATAAAAAAGCACACGCGGTACATCTCAAGATAAAGAGCTCTTTTTTTACATTGTACAGGAGACCTTGTGACAAAGCGTACTTCTCACATAACACCTATTAGTTTTCTGAAACCGGCGATCGATGGGCTGAGCAACACCATGTCATCTGCATAACTGAAACTATTGATGCAGTGACCATCAATCGAGCAGCCGAACCTTGTGTCGCTCAGCTCAACAATCAATCGATTCACATACAAATTGAAGAGAGAAGGAGACGTTAGCCCCCATGTCACTCCACATTCCAACGTGTACTCATCAGAAAGCTCAACAAGCTATCTGACCTGGTTAGTTTGGTGTTCATTCCAATATTTAAAAATATTGATCAACCAAAAGAGAATATCATATCTAAACAGGTCAAATGCTTTAGTGAGATCAAAAAAGGCTGCATACACAGGCGTGTTCCTATCCGTCTAGTACCTAACAGTCTGCTTGAGTGACATAATTGCGCATTCAGTCCAAAGTCCTGGTCTGAAGCTAAACTGAGCGTCATGAAGATGGAGATGCCATCGTGACCAGGAGACTTCCCTCGCGTCATTTCTTTAATTATTAGAGCAGCTAGCTTAGCGGCATCCTCGACTCCACGACGTCTTCATCTACAACCTGCGCACTTTTTAACAGAGACTTAACTTGAAAGTGACATCTGAACATGTTTGCTATATCCCGTGTTTCGCTAATGTCAACACTCACAGGGATGCTAGGCTTTTGACTTAGTTTTTTTGGTTCTTGCCAGAATTCTCTAAAATCTTTATTCCTGTGTTTAGTAGCCAAAATATTATGCCTCTGATTATTTTGACAATACCTTAACTTGCTTTTGAAAATATATAAGTATATATATAAATATCCTGTCCTTGTAACTAGAAGTATATAAAGACTTGAGAAGAAAAATCGGTCATTTCGGTGCCGTGTAAAGATAAAAGAGACAGTCGTTGGATTAGATGGCTTCGCTGGCGTTTAATTACTAGCCATCAATTCCGTCTTTACGGTTACAAGTCCGATGCTGAAGATAGAGCCTCTTTTTTTAAAGATTATTAACAATGCTATAAACATTACTAATATTCCTCTTAACCACTCGTGGTAAGCTTAAATTGCTTGTGTTACGAGTGGTTTACGCCAGTAGTCGAATGGTGGATTCGAACCCACGACCTTTTTCGCGAGCATCGCAAATCGCTCAGTGAGCTATGGAGAGGGCTATGCTCGGGGTTTCTCTGCGTGATAAACTTAGAAATGAGGAAATCCGCAGTAGAACCAAAGTGACCGACATAGCCCAACGAATTAGTAAGCTGAAGTGGCAATGGAGACGGCTCGAAGAAGGGTAAGGTTCTCGAGTGGCAGCCTCGTACCGGTAGGCGAAGTGTAGAGCGACCCCCACTAGATGGAGTGACGACCTGGTAAGACATGCAGAAAGTCGATGGATGCAGGTGGCTCAGGGCCATGCTTTGTGGCATACCTTGGGGGCGGCCTACGTTCAGCAATGGACTTGTGAAGGGCTGTAATGATGATGATGATGATGATTCCTAATGGCTGCGTGCTGTTACCGTCGCTGTTTCTTCTGTATATTAATGAAATCGTAACATTTATTGCTATGAGGATGACATCACTGGTGATGCTCTATACACCGGCCGTGCCAATAATTCTCGGAAAAACGTCGCCGGGTACTGGAACAAACTTGTGTCTTAAATCAAGTCTTTGCTGAACAAAGCTTCGGATTGGGGGCGACTAACTTTGTACAGGTTAACCCCCAGAGGACACAAGTTTGCTCGTTTACAGCTAAAAAGAACCCCTTCGTCGTATCTCCTTAATTTCATGGCACTCTCCATGCTACCTCAGTCAGTGTCGGAATCCTCGGCGTAAACATATCGAATGATGTGCAGCAGTTTTGTGATCACCTGGAAAATGTATAACGTAGATGAACTTTAAACAAGAACAGCTCAGATATTATTTGATCTTCCATTTAAGACTAATAGCGTCGTAAGGGTGTAAAATACACGTTGTAAAATTTTACGACATTGATTCAAGGAGAATCTTTTAAATGATTAAAGTGTTATGTCAAATAATATTTATTGTTTTTATTTATGAGTAAAATTAATATTTCTATTTTATTACTAAACAAAAATTAAAAGCATCTCTTTATCCTTCATATTTAATTTTTTTCTCAGTTATTTCTCAGTTGGACATAGGTCTGCCTCATCGAAGAAATGATTTACCAAGAATATTAATAATATTCTCCAGTCCAAATTTCAGCCACGGTGGCCGGTCTCAATGAAGACTAGCCATATACGCGGGACAAGATTACAGTGCCAGAATGTATGCGCAAGCACAAGTGCACTCTACTCCCTCAATCTTATAGTTCGATGGAATGGATGAAGAGAGATTAGGTGCGGGACCAATAGCTTGAACTGCACGGGGGAAAAACACAGCCAATTTCCTGACTCCGAGCTATTACTGAGAATTTCTTACAGAAAAATCCAATAACTGATTTTAGTCTGACCCGGGATTTGGACCCAGGACCTCGTAATCACCAGTCGCGTTTGCGACCACTTGACCAACGAGGCAGTCACACCACGCTATACAGGCAAGTTTTCCACAGACTAGTTGCAGCTTCTGCCATATTATAATTTTACTACCATGTACTAAGAAATCATAAAGCGGAAGATATAATATTGTTTAAAAAAAAAGATGTAAGCGCGCTTGATTAATAGTTTTTCTGGTCACAATTATTTCCTATTTGTTCTTAATATCTACTCATTTAGACATAAAAGGTTAGGCTCAAATACGAACACATTGAGAGATTCCAAGAACACATGTTAGCAGTGAGATAATCATAAATGATGCAGTTATGTTTTGTTGTTTATTGTTATCACATTGATTAAAAAAAATTGCGAGCTTTTGTCTTTTGGCATTCCCTCCCTATTATAAAAGGGTGTAAATATATTGCAAAAATATAAATAAAAAAGATAAATGTATAATAATAATAATAATAATAATATGCCGCTGGTAGAGCACGTCGCATGCGTTGGTCACAAGCAAAAAACGCATTGCGGGCGTACTTTAGGGCAAAAGGGGAAGAAACTGGATGTTTGGCGTATCGGGCTAGGATGCATCGTCTTTTTGCTGAGCTGGAGCCATCTTTAACCGTCACAGAGCAAAACCTGGCAGACCGAGTTCGGTACATCTTGGGCTCAAATATATTTGATGACGCCGAACTCGAAGGGCTACGACGTGAGGCTGTTCCCTCGTCGGATGAGAATGCTACGGCTGAGGAAGCGGCGCCACAAATGGTAGAGCAACCCGCAAACGTGGATGCCGCCGTGAATACCCCAGTTGTGGTTGATTCAAACGATGATGGAACAGTCGCCCAGGAACTGGAATTAGAGCATATGAGGAGTACATTGGAAGAGGCGATTGTGGAAACGCGCAGTACGCCTCGTACGCAAGCGGAATCGGGCTGTCGTGAGGGCTCTGAACCCAATGCTGGTGACCTATTTGGAAGCCAGCCGGGACCTTTGCGAGACGGACTCAATTCTTTTTGGCGCCGCGCTGGCAATGTGCCGTATTATAGGCGCCAAAGTTTCCACGGCTGGACGCGCTACTAGACATAGTAGCGCTATCCAAGCATGGAGAAGAAGAATTGAAGAACGTATCGCAAAGGCTAGAGCCCTCATCGGCAGACTGATATGCTTCAGGTCAGGCAACAACAGGCCAAGGATTGTGCGCACCGTCAGGATGGCGTTTGCTGGGACAAATGTCAGTTTGTCCCAGCCGGATATAACGCAAAAACTGACGGAGCGCATAGATGACTGAAGCAGAGAATCGCTGCTTGGGGAAAGCGGATTCGGCGATATACCGAGAGGTCGACACGGTTTAACCAGAATCGTCTCTTCCAGAGTGATCAGAAGAGGCTCTATGAATCATTGGAGCTACCAATGGTAAGTGGAACGGGCCCAGCACTGAATCAGGCCGACACTGTAGCATTCTGGCGCGGCCTGTAGTCAGAGCCCGTAAACCACAGCGACAGCCCTTGGACGGAAGTTGTGGCGAGTCAGTGTGCGAGTATTAACGCCCATGGACCCCGTCATATAACGCCGGATGACGTAGCTGAGGCGGTCCGTAGGGCCCCGAACTGGAAAAGTCCGGGGCTCGACGGGCTGCATCACTACTGGCTGAAGGGGTTCGTGGTGTGTCACACTGTGCTCGCCCGACAGTTTCCAAGAGGCTCTCAACCAGAAGTCGCTCCCGAGCCTCTTCACTACTGGGATCACTCATTTGGTTCCTAAAGACCAGGGTACCACAGACCCGAGCGATTACCGCCCCATCACGTGTCTGCCGACCATATACAAGACACTAACATCCATTTTGAGCGCGAGAATCAGACTGGACTAAGGTGATGTCGCGCGCTCAAAATGGATGTCGGGGCGGTGGTCGTGAAACCGAGGAACCACTCCTCATTGACGCGGTCATTGGCAAAGTGGTGAAACGCAACCGTCGGAACTTCTCCGCCGCCAGGATAGACTACAGAAAGGCATTTGACTCGGTGCCCCATACATGGCTAAAGAGAGTCCTCGAGCTGTACAAGATTGACTGTACAGTTAGAGACTTCCTCGAGCGGTGTATGGGGCAGTGGAGTATGATCATTTGTCATCTGGGCGAGCGGATGATGGCTGCGGAGAACCGCATAAGGATAAGAAGGGGTATATTCCAGGGCGATTGTCTGGTATTGGTTCTGTCTCTCTTTGAACCCTCTCAGTACTTTACTGGGGGGAGTGATTCTGTATCGATGAGGCTGGTATGAAACAGTCAGTTTGCGACGTGTTTTATGCACGCTTGACCAAAGTGCTTAACAGCCTTTTGTCCGGTGTGAATAGGGCACACGCATATAACGGCTGGGTCATGCCTGTCCTCACGTATACCTTTGGCATACTCAGGTGGACTCAGACCGAACTTAACGCCCTGGATAGAAAAGTCCGCACTACCATTACGTCCCATAGGATGCATCATCCAAGATCGTCGGTAATGAGGCTGTACTTACCGCGGAAGCATGGTGGTCGTGGCTTATTGAGCGCGCTCACCATGCATAATCGCGAAGTGTGCAGCCTCTGTGATTACTTGCTGGTGAGATCGGATGATCCATTCTATAATGACGTCATTTCTTCGATCCCTCTATCCTTAGCCAACGAGCAATGGCAGGACCCGGCAGTACTAAGCATTTCCGACCGGGAGACCGTATGGAAGGAGAAGGAGCTCCGCGGGAGGTACTACAGGGTTCTACATGAGCCCTTCGTAGACACAGTCGCCTCCCTCCACTGGCTACGCTTTGGTGATCCTCTTCGGGGAAACCGAGGGTTTTGTCTGTGCAATACAGGATCAGGTTATTAAGACCAACAACTATCGGAGATACATCCTAAAGGATGGCACCGTCGACGTCTGTCGAGCTTGTCGCCATCCTGGTGAGTCACTTAGGCATCTCATCTCCGGTTGTTCGGCGCTTTCTAACTCTGAGTACTTGCACAGGCACAACCTAGTAGCCAGAATTCTACACCAGGAGCTCGCTCTGAAATACGGTCTCGTGGACGGAAATTGCCGTATTACAAGTACTTGCCGGAAGCCGTGCTCGAAAATGATCGCGCCAGGCTCTATTGGGACCGGGCCATCATCACAGACAGGACTATTCTTGCGAATAAGCCTGATATTGTGCTGATGGACCGGGCACAGTCAAGGATATTTTTGGTCGACATTACCATTCCGTATAACGAGAACCTCGTGAAAGCCGAAACAGACAAGCAACAAAATATCTGGACCTGGCTCACGAGGTGACTGACATGTGGGGTGGTCTGCCGGCCGAAATTATTCCTGTAGTCGTCTCTGCAAATGGGCTAATCCCAGTCAGCCTCTCGGGTCATCTGAGGCGGCTGGGATTACGTGGCGGACCGCTCCGGGCTGAAATGCAGAAGGCGGTGCTCCTCGATACCGCCCGCATCGTCCGCCGGTTTATTTCCCTTTCCCGCTAACCCTTGGCCGTTTGGTCTCCCCTGCCGAGGGCCTCCATCTGGTTGGGGTTTTACTTATTTATGTACTTTTATATTTATTTTATGCAATTGATATTTATGTATATTTATCTTTTCATTTTCATTTATAATTATATATTTATAGAACCCAACCAGATGAGAAAACTATATAGATACCCCACAATTTTAATAATAATAATAATGTCTTCCAGACCGAATTTCGGTCGCGGCGGTCTGCCTCAACAGAGGATAGCCATCGGCGCAGGGCAGGATTATAGTGCCCAAGTGTATGCGCAAGCACAGGTGCACTCTCTATTCCCTCACTCTCGTAATCCGATGAGACGGTAAACCGACACAATCGAAGACAGATCAGGCGCAGGACCAACGGCTTTACGTGCTTTCCGAGGCACGGGGGTAAGACACCGCCAACTTCCTGACTCCGCGCAGCTACTGAGAATTTTTTGACAGAAAAACTCAATAATTGATTTTTTGGCCCGACCCGGGATTCGAAACCAGGACCTCATGATCAGCAATCGCACTACCACAACCACTAGACCAACGAGGCAGTTAAATGTATACTACAGCAATAACAAAAAATTAACAGCATAAAAGTTTTCCAAATGTAAAGTTTACCTAAAAACGACGCTTATTCGAAAATGCCGCATCCGTTCATTACTTATAGCCTATGCTGTTGGAATTTTCTAGCAAACAGCGTTATAATTATTCTTATCTTTAACGACAATCGACTCTACGTGTGAAAAATTAGCTCCAAATATTTTTTTTTAAATATAATAACGAAGGCAACCTGATGGTAAGTGGATGCTGTAGCTTATAGACATTAACAATATTTCACAATTAAGAATCAAAGTACTGATGCGGTTGTCATGCTTGAGGACTAAAAGGGAATGCTTCGGTTCCAATAAGAAGAACGGAGAGCCCATTTTCTATACTCACCGTACGAAACATAGCACAATAAAGCTGCTAACGTTTAAAACGCTTGTTTTATGTGAGGACGTGGTCCTGCCATGGTCAAGTCGACACATTCAGTGTGACTCTACCACATATTAAAGTCTGCCTTGAAATCAATGACAATACCTTAAGTATTTTTGTGTGCGGCTAGTTGTCTAACCACCACCACCTGCCAAATCCACCTGTAAAATGTTTAGTATTGTATTTAATAAAAAATTATAAGAAAAATCTAATTAAAGGTGGTTGTTATATGTGGTGGTAATGTTGAAATATATGTACATATTGAGAATTTTTTTTTTATATATACATATATATTTATATATATATATATATTTTTTTTTTTTATAGGACTGTAAAAACTACCGTGGTATCAGCCTTCTTAGCATTGTGGGAAAACTGTACGCTAAGGTACTGATTGAAAGGGTCATGAAAGAAACTGATGGAAAAATTTGGGATGTGCAAGCGGGATTTAGAAAGGGAATGGGATGTACAGATCAAGTCTTTTCCATGCGCATGATCGCGGAGAAGTTTCTGGCCAAAAACCAAAAGGTTTTTTGTGCGTTCATGGACTTGGAAAGGGCCTATGACAGAGTGGATAGGGATTTGCTATGGCAAACACTGAACTCATTTGGGTTGAGCGCTGGCTTGATACAGGCATTGGAGTCTCTTTATAGGGACTCTAGTGCTTGTGTTAGGATCAACGGGGTCTACTCGGACTGGTTCGACATCCATAAAGATGTCAGACAGGGCTGTGTGGCTTCCCCGTGGCTGTTCAACTAAAATATGGAACTGTTTGTTTGAAAGTTGAAGAATGCGGATTAAGAATGGGTGAGTTAACCGTCAAATGCCTTTTGTACGCCGATGATCAAGTCATTCTTGCGTCGTCGGCGGCCGAGTTGCAAATGATGGTTACATTAATGAACGGATCATTAAAAGAAAGGGGTATGAAAGTGAACGCAAGTAAGACGAAGGTTATGGTTTTTGAAAGAGAAGAAAGTAAAACGATTTGTGAAATAAGAATAGAAGGGGAGTTGATCGAGCAAGTAGATGAGTTTGTATATTTGGGCTGCGTATTTAGCAGGGATGGGAGATATGATAAGGATATAGAACGACGAGTGAATGCGGGAAATAGAGTAAATGGGGCCTTGCACTCTATTGTGAAGAGGCAAAATGTGTCGAAAAAGGCACGTATGGCAATTCACAATGCTGTGTTGGTCCCTACTTTAACGTATGGTAGTGAAAGTTGGGTGTGGCAGAAGAAGCACGAGAGTAGAATAAACGCAGTAGAAATGCGGTCGTTAAGGAGTATGTTAGGGCTGAATCTGAATGACAGGGTAAGAAATTGTAATATGTAGGGATTGGCAGGGTAAGAAATTGGTAATAAGAGAAGAGTGTGGTTTGCAAGATGATGTTGTGACCAGGATTAAGAAAGGAATGCTTCGGTGGTTTGGTCATTTGGAAAGAATGAATGAGGAAAGAGTGACAAAGAAAATTTATGTTGCAGAAGTGAATGGCAGAGTCGGAAAGGGACGTCCTAGGCGAAAATTTATCGACCAAATTGGCGATTTATTGGAAACGGGCCAAATTAGGAATACCCTTAACCGACGAGCATGTATGCGGAG